CACTGATATCCGCACCGCAATGGTCGTTTTCTAACGGGCAGGGTAGGATACACTGACGATTAGAATCATATCTCTAGGAACACCATCGTACCGAGCGTACAAAGAAAGGAAGGCAGCCATGACTGAAACATTACCTCTTCTCATCGCTCTGATCGAGAATTCCGCATTCTGGATTTAATAAAAAGTAAAATAGAAATGATGTATATCATAAAAGATCTTTTCACAAAAATCGATTTTCCTTGAACAAAGGTAGCGCTTACGATGTGTCTTGACATGTCTCATTTCATTGACATCCATTTATTCGGATAAGAAATTATCTTATTCGAAAACTTTCGGAAAAGATTGCCTTTAAAGCTCTGTTTCTGTTATCCAGGCTATTTCAGCATCTACAAATGCTTAGAATAAGGAGGGGCGAGATGTTAAACTCGATAACTTGGCCGTTGTCAAAAGCAATATGGTACGTGTATCACCCCATGTCGTGAGAATCGCCGCGATTTTCGCGATTTTTTAAAAAATTGGCGTAAAATCGTGATTTATCGTATTTCTTTAAAAGATCGACGATTATATCAGATTTTATCGCGATTATGGGAGAAGAGCTGATTTTCAAAAATCGTTGATAAATCATGACAATTATTCATTCACCGTTTTGTTATGAACACACACGGATATATAAACAACGCCGTTCAATGAATAACAAATAAGTTTTCGAAATATACTTTTCTGATAAATTATTTCTTGGTTATTTTTAATCAAGGAAATGCCAATCCTGATCCATGATCTGGAGAGGACTACACTGAAGCGGTCTGATAAGAATCGGACCAACTCGAGATTGGACAGATCGCACGATCTGATCGGCTTGGATCTTGAGAACAAAAAAAATTGAATTAAATTCAAGAAACATTCCAAATATGTGTCTCCAAAAGAACCAATGAAATAGTAGAAAATATCAGTAAACACGGCTAAATCTTGCATAAAATCACGATTTATCGTAAAAATCACTGAAATAATCGGGAATAATCGGCGATTCTATCGCGATTCAGCTCACGATTATCGTTTCGATGAATCGGGATTAATCGGCAATTTTTAGCCGATTCAAAGGACATGGGACATCCACACCAACCCGGAACCTCGATGATGAAGAAGAAGACAGCAAACAGTTATTTATCAAGTGATCATCATTATCATGTTATTGAAATAAGCAGAAAATATTAACATTGATGTTATGTATTATCTGAAACACGATGCAAGAGTAGTGAAGTATGTAGTGGTAGAAATTCGAATTCCCAGATGTGACAGATATCTTAGCAAGTATTCATCATAGACCGTAGTAGAGATAATCACGAAGTCAAAGTCAACTGCAAAAATAGTATGATAGTCGTTGTTGTTTACATTTCTTTTATACTCACTACAATATATTGTGATAAATATCTTTCATCATCGAGATGCATTAACAGTAGGTAGGAATTGATAAGCTAAAACACATAATGATTAATACTCTCTTTTACAATACCAGTAATTCCATCATATTTTTATCCCACGGGGATTGCGTTAACAGCATTTCTTACATTTTTCTTTGTTTTTACTTTTTAATGAATATCTCTTAAGCTAACAGAAACTGCGTCATCTTTCTGTAAACATTTCTATACTTCTGTAATTCTTCGTACTTCAGAAGTACAAAAGTATGCTTTTCCCGTAGTCCTCTCATGTTTATCGTAATCATACTCAAGTCAACATACAATGCAACATCATCTCCTCTATAAAAACGATCTTTTCCGGAGAAAAGTTCTGTCAGAGATCCGTCTCAATGAACTTAGAACATATATTTAGAGGTGAGAAGTTTTCGCTACCGAATACTTACTTTATTCGGTAACATAAACTGCTTTCAATTCAATTTACTTAATAATTGGTAACTGAAGAAATTACGAAAAAAACGATTCCCTATTATATAGTACTCGTAGACCATTTCGTAACCAGTTACCGAGCAAAGTAAAGATAACTTTCCACTGCTGCACAAATGCTTCAAGCGAATAATGACGAAAACGAATAGTGCAGGGCGAGATTGGTAGTCGGGGTCTACTGGCGTTCCCGATTGACCGATCGGTCACCTAACAATTTCATCACTGCAGTACATAAGGTACATACACAAGTTCTATTTTTGTGTTATCATTTTATTTTTTTTTTCTTCTTGTCGTTTCTCTCAGTCGTAAAAGATGAATGTTTTCTATCTATTCGCTTACTTCACATCAAAACTCGAGAGATATCAAAGAGTCTTTTTTTTGCACATCACCAAGCAGAAAAATACGTAGAATTTCAGTCAATTCTATCTGTTGGAGAAAAAGAACAATTCTCCTTGAATAAATGTATCGAATGTGTGGTTTGCTTTTGAAACGTGTGACTAGAGAGAGAGCATGCATTCTGTCTTGTCATCGAACCCGTATTTTCTTCATCGTTGTCTTCGTTGTAGATTAATCTAATTTTAATGGCTAATCATAACTCATCGACTGAAATCTTATCTTTTGAACAACATTATTCTACCGATCCAAGAAGAAACATAAATCAAATCGTGAATGAAAGAAATCAAGGGAGTGTCTCTAGCGCTGATGACACTGAAAACAGGTCGTACACGGATTCAACGCGCCAGTATGCATGTTTTCTTTAAATTGTAATAGAAGTTCATCTTTATCTTTATTAGGACACTCAATGACGAGTCAACATCAAAGCCTTATATGAACACCTTTGTGATGATTTTATTGATGATCATATTGACGGCCATCGGCATTCTCACTGTTTGCTTTACTTCACCAAAACCAAAAAGTATACATGTGTTTTATTCTTTTCCTATTCAACTTTTAGTCAAATAGAATTAAACCCTTGTGCTTCAAATATTTTCATTGAAGTTGAAAACTAAAAACAATCAAAAGCTTTTCAATATTTACAAGTTCATATCGAAGGTGCTATGGACGAGGACGAAGAATATCAATGGATAATCATTCACTCTCATACCTCTATAGTCAACACACTTATTCACCGTCATCATCATGGATATCCGTCCATACGCACACTTACATTCACTCAATGTCGTGCAAATATTGTTACATAGAGGCTTCCAATTGGGTAGTATACTAGAAGCATGAAATAAGTTTTTCTCGTTAAGTACCAACGCAATGAAATGAATTGAGATAACAATAGAGGTTTCTTCTATTTGGAGCAAAACGATCTATTTAACTTGTGTAACTTGCACAGTTTAGCACGAGACTTACATGATATCGATAATCTTTATACTGCAGAAGCAGGACTTTTAACAGATATAGGCATCCAAGCGAAGTTTTTCACCACTTGAAGTTGACTAGTTTTTCATTGGCTAATCAGAATATTCAATTGACTTGTCTTATTGACGAGTTTTGATTCAATCGATTTCAATTCTAGAATGTAATTAGTTGAAAAAAAACTTACCTACTTTGTTCTGACTGTTTTAATCATCCATCTTCATTTTTTTGGAAAGTTGCCCTTTGCAACAAAGTTCATAGAGACTAGTTCGCAAAACTAAATTTCAAAATTTTTTTACTTTATCATTCAAAGACATAACCGACAAGCATATTTTTTTCATGATGTTGAGGAAATTACACTTAGAAAGTTCAAGTTCATGTTCTTCTATTTCTTCATTCAAAAATTCTTCACTATTATCAAACTTTTGTCAGTCAATTTTTTCGATTACGTTCCAATTATTCTTGATTGAATCAGTGTATTGAATTGATCAATCAGTAAAGTAATTCATGAACTACGTTGCTGATGAATTCTTTGACTACATAAGTTAAGATCTCTTCTGAATGTGTAATAGTCTACAATATTTTTGATATTCATTACATACCATATATATGAGCTTCTAGGTGCTTCTTCAGAGCTCGTTTGACTTCATTTTTACCGAGCTTTTTTTCAATTGTCTAACCATATTTCTAAACAAGCAGAATGATCAATCATCGGTAAATATTAGTAGATTTCTATTGTCATTTATGATTGTTTCTTGCCAATTCCGTATAACAGTATTTCAGTTTTCACGTTCACATAAGTATATTGATCAGTAAAAACATTTCGATAGCTGATTTCAGGCAAATGACGGCTAATCGTTGTTTGAGATATTTATGATTGCCGTGCTGTTGATAGTTTTTCTCGGATTCCTATCGATGTTATGGATGTGGGTATGTATGAAAAGTAGACCGTAAACTTTATACTCTCAATTCATATATTTATTCATATATTTAATAAGTTGTTGAGTTTTGTTTACTCATTTATCAATGCAAAGATGACAAGTGATAATTAATATAGTTTTTCAGGAAATCATTGATATCTTAGTTATACTTCTACACTGACAAATTAAGTATTCCACTTCAATTCCATCTCTATTGCACATTAATATAAGAGAGAATAATTCAATTCTTCTATTCGCTCAATGATTAAATATTTTGTGAGAAACTTCTACTACGAATTGAAAAAACATTCCATCTTCTTTTTTAGAGCCAATATGTCCCTTTGTATTTGTATCTCCGACTCAAGATTGGATTAATGTCAACGGTCCTAAGCTGCCAATCACATTAGGTGATTTCAATAATGACAATCACTTGGATATCATTGTCGTTCAACATGACAGTACTACTATAAATATTTTTTTGGGCTACGAAAATGGAACATTCCCCAAGAAACCAATACCATCAGGAAGATTTTCTTCTCCTCCATATTCCATTGCACTCGGCGATTTTAATAGAGACAATTGGTTGGATATCGCCGTTGCTAATCATGATCAAAATAATATAGGTATTTTCCTCGGTTATGGTAATGGAACGTTCGCAAACGAAAGTATCTATTCAACTGGCTCTTCTCGTCCCCTATCGCTCTCGATCCATGATTTCAACAACGACAACTTATTAGATATTGTCGTTGCCAACGATGGTACGAACAACATAGGTGTACTTTTGGGATATGGTAATGGAGCTTTTGGCAATCAGATGACGTTTTCAACTGACTTTGATTCTCTTCCTCAAGCGATAGCCGTTGGCGATTTTAACAACGATAATCAACTGGATATTGTCGTCACTAACGCTGGTACTAATAATATAGGAGTGTTTCTTGGAAAGAACGATGGAACTTTTTCAAACCAAACTACATATTCAACTGGTGATTATCCTGTTTCGGTGGCCGTTGCTGATTTCAACAACGACACTCGACTGGATATCGTTGTAAGCAACAATAATGGTAATAATGTAGGAGTACTTCTTGGTAATGGGAATGGAACGTTCAAGCGTCAGATCACCTATACTACAGGCTTCGGTTCTCATCCTAGTTCGGTGGCTGTATGTGATTGCAACCGAGACCATCGATTCGACATTATCGTTGCCAATAGTGGAAAAAATAATCTAGGTCTCTTGCTCGGAAATGGTGATGGGACCTTCCAAGCACAACGGTTATATTCTATAAATATTGGTTCTCCACAAATAGTTGTCACTGCAGATTTGAATAATGATACTTGGGCGGATATTATTGTTGCTATTGATGGTACTTACAATGTAGGTATCTTATATGGAGGCCCAGATAAAAACTTTACTAATCCAACGACATATTCAACGGGTGCACAATCTCTTCCGTATTCGGTTGCTGTGGGTGACTTCAACAACGATGCTATATTGGATATTGTTGTAGCTAATTCTGGGACTGACACTATAGGTGTCTTTCTTGGACTTGGTGATGGAAATTTCGCTATGCAAATTCAATATCCAACGGGATTAGGCTCTATACCAAATTCAGTTGCTCTCGGTGATTTTAACAATGACAACCGACTGGATATCGTTGTAGCCAATGATGGGACTGACACGATAGGCATCTTTTTTGGAAAAGGCGACGGATATTTTTCAGACCAAATTACATATCCAACCTATGGTTCCGCTTTCTCATTGGCTGTTGGCGATTTGAACAATGATGGCCGACTAGACATCGTCGTAATCAGTCTTTCTCCTGATAATGTAATGATCTTGTTGGAAAATGACGATGGGACTTTTATAAATCCAACAGTGTATTTAATGGAATTGGGTTCTCAGCCGTATTCAGTAGCCCTTGGTGATTTTAACAATGACAATCGACTGGATATTGTTGTAGCTAATTATGGAACTAGCACTATAAGTATCATTTTTGGAAATGGCAATGGGGCTTTTACAAATCAAACAATATACTCAATGGAATCGGGTTCTCAGCCGTGTTCAGTCGCCGTTGGTGATTTTAACAACGACACTCAATTAGATATCGTTGTAGCCAATTATTATACCAGCGTTCTAATCGTCTTTCTTGGAAGTGGCGATGGAGCTTTTTTAAATCAGAGTACCTATTCAGTTGATAGGGGTCCGTTTTCAGTTGTTGTTGGTGATATGAACAACGATACCTATTTGGATTTCATTGTAGCAAATTACTACGGTGATAATATAGGTGTTCTCCTCGGAAAAGGTGATGGTACCTTTTCAGTGCAAACGACATATTCAACTGGATGGAGTTCTCTACCGTATTCAGTCGCTATTGGTGATTTCAACGGCGACAATCGACTGGATGTAACAGTTGCACTTTCAAATTATTTCTCTATAGGTGTATTTATCGGATATTACAATTCACCCTTTACAATTCCTGTAATTTATTCAAGTGGCTCAATTTCTACACCATTCGCACTTGCTATTGCAGACTTTGACAATGATAATCGATTAGATATTGTTTCTGCTAATCAAGAGAGCAGTAATATAGGCATCTATTTGAATTTTGGAAATGGAAGTTTTCAAATTCCTACCTTATATTCAACTGGTTACTCAACTAGTCTGTCTTCAGTTGCAACTGGCGATTTTAATAACGACAATCTAAGCGATATCGTAGTCGCTAATCATGACAGTGACAATATCGCTATCTTTCTTGGATTAGGAAATGGGGGTTTCAGAAGTGCTATGACATACTTAACTGCGCTTAATTCTGGTCCCTGCTCGATAGCTGTAGGTTATTTCAATAATGATGATCGATTGGATATTATTAGTGCCAATAATGGAGATGATAGTATAGTTTTATTTCTTCATTATGGCTTTGGAGCTTTCGTGAACAAAGAAATGTATTCTACTACTACTTTTACTACCTCTCATTCAATAAGCTCTGGAGATTTCAATGAAGATACTCTAGTAGATATGGTTGTAGCCAATTATCATGTTGACACTATAACTGTGCTTCTTGGAAATGGGGACGGAACGTTCTCGAATCAAACCACACATTATACTGGAGATAGTTCACAGCCCTATGCAGTTGTCGTTGGTGATTTCAACAACGACAGACACTTGGATTTGGCTGTAGCCAATAGAAATGGTGGCTATCTAAGTATATTTCTTGGAAATGGTAACGGGACCTTTCAAAATCAAACCACATATCCTACTGGAGATGGTTCTCTACCGCTTGCGCTCACTGTTGGTGATTTAAATAACGATGGTTGTCTGGACATTGTTGTAAGCAGTTCCGGTAGTTTCTATATATGCATATTTCTTGGAAAGTGTGATGGTACATTTTTGAATGCCACAACATACTCAACTGGCTATAATTCATGGCCTTGGGGCATCGTAATTAGCGATTTTAACAACGACACACGACCAGATATCGCTGTAGCCAATAAGTTTACTTTCAATATAGGTGTATTTTTGGGAAATGGTGACGGAACGTTTTCAAATCAAACCACTTACTCAACTGGAGAAAACTCGCGACCGCAGGGGCTCAGTTTTGGTGATTTTAATAATGATAATCGAATTGATATCGTTGTAGGCAATTATGGAGGTGATAATATAGGCATATTGTTGGGGAATGGAGACGGTACGTTTTTGAATCAAACAACATATTCCACTGGCTATCTGTCTGGCCCCTATTGGCTCGTCGTTGATGACTTTAATAAAGATGGTCGACTGGATGTTGCCGCCGCTCTCTCTCTGTCTGACAGTTTAGCGATCTGTTTCGGAAAAGAAAATGGAACATTTAGTAATCCAATGATATTTCGAACTGGCTCTTCAACCTATCCGGTGTGTTTGATAGTTAATGATTTCAACCATGACAGCTGGCTTGATGTAGGCATTGTTTTTGATGATGTTGGTGGTGTCGGCGTATTCATGGGAGACAGAAACAGAATATTTCTAGTACCTTTAACATATTCAACTGGCACGGGTTCTGCTCCGCAAACTATCGTCGTTGGCGATTTCAATAACGACAAGCATCTTGATGTAGCTGTTACATATAGTAAGAGTAACAATGTAGGTGTATTTCTAGGACTTGGTGATGGAAATTTTTCAAAGCAAGTAACATACTCAACTGGTGCTAATTCTCGACCGTGGTCAGTTGCTTTAGGTGATCTTAATAACGATACGCAAATGGATATGGTCGTGACTAATCGTAATAGTAACAATATAGGAGTTTTTCTTGGATACGGGAATGGAATGTTTGGAAATATAAAGATATATCAAATTGGTTTGTTTTCTGATCCAATATCTATCGCTATTCTAGATTTTAACAGAGACAATCAAATGGACATTGCTGTTGCTAATTATCTTGCTAACAGTATAATCATATTTCAAGGAACTGGTGATGGAACATTTTCGAGCCAAACGACATATTTAATTGGTTATAATTCTCGGCCAGTTTCGATTGCTTTGGGTGATTTCAATATGGATGACTGGATGGATATTGCCGTAGCTACTTTAGGCATAAAAAATATAAAAATTCTTTTAAAATTTTGTTAGTTTTTCTGTATATTCAGCTTATCTTTATCTTTTGCTTTTAAGTGAAATAAAAATTATCTTTGGTTTTTTCTTTTCATTTATTACAATAATCATGTTCCGAGTAAATTTTTGTCCGAATGTTTTCGAAGTAATATTATGTAATATTTATTCAATTGTTTTCAAGAAAATCGCATAGCTTTGAATTGAAAGATTAATAGTTTCTCAAATTCAAATATTAAGAAACGTTCACTTTTATCTTCAAGGAAGTATTATACGTTATTCTAGATTTTCCAGATCATTGTGAGGGTGGGTGTGGGGTGTGAGTGTGGATATTCATTCTTTACACACCCACACCTTCCCTTGAAACTAGTACCATTGGATAGAGCATTAAATTCTACACCTCACACAACCGCTTAGAGAGTTAACACAAGTAAGAAAGCGAATCGGAACAAGAAATACTCGAATCTGATGCTAACTTTACTTACGTTCTTTTTCTGAGAAGAAAAATTAGCAATGCTTCGAAAATCTTTTCTGAAAGGAAAATGATATTTTTGAGGAATATTCAATCTACATTTCTTGAAACTTAATAATTTATATTTGTCAAATTATTGTGTTTTTTATCAATAAATATGAAATAATTCGAATAGATTTGCATATTCAAATAAAAAATAAAACATTGGAATGATTTTTGTCTTTTTAAATAAAACTTGAAAGAAATTCAAAAGTCAACTCAACCCTTTCTTGCCGTATCTTAAACATCAAGTTTTATTTTCAACTCTTTGGTTTCTGGCTTTTTGCGAAAATCTAAATTTTTATAAGAAATGTTTCTATATGGTTTTTATTTATTTTTTGAAAGAAATCGCATTTCTGTGTCAAAGAAACATTAGTAGTTCATTTTTTGTATGATAGTCTTTAAAGCAATCAACAATACATAGAGGCACATTGCAGTCAGCACACATATATCGTGTATCACATCGAACATTATGAAATGTGAAAAGAGTGAAAACCTACTCAAAGGTTCCAGAAAGAGAACACCGTAGAGAGAAAAGGATGACGTCATGTACAATGACAAAAGAAAGAAGAAGGTTCTATATGACGAGAAGAAAAAGAGAAAAGATATATACAAGTTGAGAGATGGGATAACCTATAACCTTTAGGACGTGTAGGATCATAACACTCTATATAAGATGATAAAGAGAAGAGATTTTTTCATCCTGGAAAATACCAAAATGATAATAAGCTAAGAGGGAATAACCAATATGTGAGGCATATACCAACAGTGAACAAACACTAGGACGTATATATAAGTCGCCGGAAGCCAAATGGTTAAGTAGAACTTAAAACTTGAACAGTATTAATCTTGGTATTGATGATGAATTATTTGTGATAATAATTTATCTAATTTAGTTTTTTACAAGGTTTTATTATTTTATTGTGTCATTATGATATATATAGGTCTTACGATGTTAATATTCATAATATTGATATCACATAGGGTGTGGGTGTGGGTGGGTGGGGTGTGGTTGTGGGTGTATTGATCTTCTTTTTATCGACACCTACACCTACACCCACACC